AACCGATACGTTGTTCAGTTCTCTTTGAGTCTTTTTTTGAATCAAGAAGGGCTAAGGGTTTTTCTAGTTTAAATATAGCTAGGTGTATCTGTTCCAAAAATTTGTTAAAAAAGGTTCTTTCAAAATAATTCAATTTGCATTCTTTGCCTTTAGATTCTAAGTTAGTTTCCAAGATACTTTCCGTTACACGTTTTTACGAAGGCATTCTTAATGCTGTAGATTGTACTCTTAGCTCATCTGCAACGGTTTCAGTTCCACGGGAATTTTTTCTGCCTGTCGTAAACGAACCAATTTTTCAGTAGCTGTACAATGTATGGAGTCAGCATTTGGCCTTAATGATGCCAACTATGCTTTTCAACCCTCAAAACCCTTACTTGATGTTTTCATTGCGGCAGAAGGACTACCTTCGGTTAGTTGTTTTGAATGTAGAGTAAACCACGTGTTTTCAGATATAATAGAATTCTAGGGTGAAGACAAATTACCGGAACCTACCGAAGCTGAAATTGCCGAAGCCAACAAATTGAAGGAGGAGGTGACAGCGTTTTATCTTGTTTTTGTCCATAGTACCTACCATTTTTCTGCGTTTTTTCCCTTCTAGATCTGGATGGAATATGAGATACATATTCTGAGTTTCAGGGTAATGATCTGATGAAAGCGTCTCAGTTTGATGCTGCTGTTAGCAAATACAATGAAGCCATAAAATTGCACAGGGATCCCGTTTATTTCTGTAACAGGTTCACCACTCAATCTGGGGTTATTCTCATTCTTGTGAGTATCTTTTGTTCATTGCAGAGCAGCTGCATACTGTCGCCTCGAACAATATGATCTCGCTATACAGGACTGCCGAACAGCATTAGCTCTTGACCCCAAATACAGCAAAGCTTACGGTCGTATGGGGTCAGTTTCTCGCTGTTTTTCGTCTTTTCTTTCTTTATGATGCAAATACCTGACTTGATAATTCATGCCTATATTTAGACTTTGATAGAGTGTTCTATCCATTATTCATAAGCAGATTGCATATAGCACTTTCCATAGCAGCAGAAAAAATTTCGAAACTTTTTGTCATATTTAAATAACGCTTGCAGTTACTACATGTTTAGACAGTTAGCCTATCTTTGATAACAGAAGATATGAAGCCCAGTTGAAGTTGTAACGCTATAATACTCCGTACTTCATAAAGATCGGCGATCGAGGGTGCGTCGCCGTTGCGGCGTCGCTTTGAAGTTGAATACCGTTTTAGCGTAATTCGGGTCTACCCCACTTTCGTCGCACTTTTTTTTTGGGACTTCAATGTTTTCTTTCTTTAGACTGTGTTAAAGTTTCCAGAATTCGGCAACAAGTGAGCTAAGCGTGCATTATGTATAATGGAATATATTTGTACGACGTCGCAACGCGACTTCACCGCACCCACGGTCGGTCCGCCCTTTTTGCGCTTATAAGCAT